CAGCACTTCCTGGAGTGATGGACGGGAACGGGACCCCGGAGCGGAGGGAGGGGAACAGGAACGGGACCCCCGAGCGGAGGGAGGAACAAGAACGGGGCGCCCGCCCCGCGGCGCCCCACAGCCGCCATGGCCTCACGCCCCACTGCCCAGCGCGCACCGCTGACGTAGTCCGGCGCCGGCTGATGACCGTGCCGGCGGCCATGGCGGCGCGGCGTGGCGCGCTGATCGCGCTGGAGGGCGTGGATCGCGCCGGCAAGAGCACGCAGGGCCGGCGGCTCGTGGAGGCCCTCCGGGAGGCCGGGCACCGCGCCGACCTCCTCCGCTTCCCCGGTACGGCGCGGCGCGGCGCGGCGGAGGAGGCGGGCGGGGCACGGGGACCCAAACGCCCGAGCTCTGGGCGGGCCCGGCGTTTGAACTGAGGGACCGCCCCGGGCGTGAGGGATAAACCCCTCCCACCCTGCACGGGCTGAGCGGATAGGCCCATCCCGGACAGACAGACAGACAGACAGACTCATCCTGGAAGGACCGAGCTCCTCCCCGCAGCCTGTCCCGGACAGAGCGGATAGGCCCCTGACATCCCGGACAGACACACAGACAGATAGACAGACAGGCTCATCCGGGATGGACCGAGCTCCTCCCGCAGCCTGTCACGGGCAGGCGGATCCAGCCCCTTCCGGACTGACCTCCTCCCGCCCGTGACAAAGAAACATCCCCCTCACCCTGGACAGACCTGCTGCCACCCCTGACAGACAGACAGACAGGCCCTGCTCAGACCGCCTCCCACCCGTGACAGACAGACCCCCGGACAGACAGAGGCTCCGGGGCAGCCCTTGCATCTCCCGTCTTTCCTGCAGACAGAACGACAGAGATCGGGCAGCTGATCAGCTCCTACCTGGGCAGGGAGAAGAACCTGGAGGACCACACCATCCACCTGCTACTCATCCTGGAAGGACCGAGCTCCTCCCCGCAGCCTGTCCCGGACAGAGCGGATAGGCCCCTGACATCCCGGACAGACACACAGACAGATAGACAGACAGGCTCATCCGGGATGGACCGAGCTCCTCCCGCAGCCTGTCACGGGCAGGCGGATCCAGCCCCTTCCGGACTGACCTCCTCCCGCCCGTGACAAAGAAACATCCCCCTCACCCTGGACAGACCTGCTGCCACCCCTGACAGACAGACAGACAGGCCCTGCCCTGCTCAGACCGCTCCCACCCGTGACAGACAGACCCCCGGACAGACAGACAGAGGCCCCTCTGGGCAGAGCGCTCCGGGGCAGCCCTTGCATCTCCCGTCTTTCCTGCAGACAGGACGACAGAGATCGGGCAGCTGATCAGCTCCTACCTGGGCAGGGAGAAGAACCTGGAGGACCACACCATCCACCTGCTCTTCTCTGCCAACCGCTGGGAGCACGTGTGAGGATGGCGTTTGCTCACTTGTGAAAGAAGAACGGGTGGTGCTGGACCCCACGGGGTTTGAGCGGGCACAGAAAGTTCCAGAATGTGGTCCTGTCCAGACAGAGCAGGCTGGGAATGGTGTCTGAAGGACTCTCACAGCTTTGGATTTAATCACAGATTGGTTTGGTTGGGAGGGACCTTAAAGCCCAGCCAGTCCCACCCCCTGCCATGAGGAAACCTTCCACTGTCCCAGGTTGCTCCAAGCCTGTCCAGCCTGGCCTTGGACACTTCCAGGGGCAGCCACAGCTACTCTGGGCACCCTGTGCCAGGGCCTGCCCACCCTCACAGGGAAGAATTCCTTCCCAATATCCCATCTAGCCCTGCCCTTGTAATCTTAGATCACATCCCACAGTTTGGGGTTTCTTTTTTTGAATAATTGGTGCCATATTTCCAACTCCTCTGCTGTACTGGATTAAAAAATTGGGCAGCTGAGACTGAACCAGTTCAGACTGGGAATTTATACCTTGCTTTGCCAGGCAGCCCTTGACAGTTCTCAAAGAATTGTGCCCAAATTTCCCCTGTAGCCAAAGGCTACGTTCAGCCATAACTGGCTGTCCTTTAGTCACAGAGCCTGGGTGTGGACGTGGGGAAATCAGTGTTGGCTGTTGTTTTTACCTGGAAATACAGATTCCAAAAAGTTCTCGTTTTACAGAACAGCTTTTCTGGCTGTGCTGTGGTGGCAGTGCCAGTTAATCTGGGAGAACAGAGGGCACAGAAGTCTCAGTGAGCTCTAAGAAGTGTCATGAATAAAAGGTGGCAGAGCATACCACAAAATCTGCTGTAGCACCTACAAAGGGATGAGGATTGAGCTGTCCATGTTAATATAATTCATCTTTGAGCTTGCTTGTGATCCCTGGAGCTGCCTAGAGCAGTGCCCAGTGCTGGCACCCTGAGTTTGGGTGGCATGAAAGGGCATTTGGTCAGTGCCTGGTGGAGAATACAAACAGCTCTTCACCTGCCACCTGTATCACAGCTGTCTCCCTTAGTGATGGAGTTCATCTGGGAGTTCAGATGACCTTTCATTGCTGTCACCATGAAGGAGTGCAGCTTGGTTATTTTATCTCCCCCTGGTTTCAGCCCCATGATGAAGGAGAAGCTGCAGCAGGGGATCACGGTGGTGCTTGACAGATATGCCTTCTCTGGAGTGGCCTTCACGAGTGCCAAAGGGGTGAGTGACACCTGCAGCAGCCCCTGTCCCCCTCTCTGCTGGGGGAACCAGCCCCAGGCTCTTGGTGTGAGTGGCCCAGGGGCCATTCTTCTGGGAGATGAGGGATGGAGGTTTCAGCTCAGATATTAACATGGGTCCACCCTTCCCCAGAACAAGCAGAGAAACTTACTTGGTGACTTTTTGCAAGTCTGGACAGACTGCTGGGCTGGAAGCTGAGCTGTGTGACTCTGGAGGATGACTCTGGGAGTTTATTGAAGGCTCTCTGTACTTGCTCAGGCTGCTGGCCCATCAGTTTGTGGAACAGAACCACATACATTACAAAAGACCTGTGGAATTCAGCCTCCAGCAGGGCTGAATTGGAGTCCTGGTGCAATTTTGGGCCTACATCCAGCCAAGGTCTGAGTATCTTCAGGGATGTGTATCCATTCCTTTCTGGGTTCTTCTCAGCTCACCTTCTGAGTAAAAGTGATTTTCTTCATCTAGCCTGAATTGCTGGCATTCCCACTTGTGCCTTTTGGCTTTCAGAAGAAGTCAGCTCTGTCAGCCTTCCTTGGAGCCATTCTGCACAGACACTCCTGTCCCACTCCATCAGAAGTGTCCTGTTCTGCTCATCAGCTATCAATCCTCTAAGAGTGGTCACAGAAGCTCCAGCCATGCCTGCAGCACCAGCTGTAACCTGCATTCTTTCCTGCCCAAGCCTTTCCTGCTTCCTGGAAGGACTGAGTTGATCCTGGGTCCCCCACCTGCATCTTCTCCCACCCTCCTGCTTTCCTGGACACTGTGTGGCTTGAGACAGATGCATTGAAGCATTTAGGTGCTGACCAGCTGTCTGCAAAAGCCCCACATTAAGAGCCAGGATGTGTAACATGAGCTGAGTCACCCCAAAATGATGATCCCAAATCCACATGGGCACAGCAAGGAATGTTCTGCTACTTTCTGGTGGGGGTAAAAGGGTGTCTTAAAGTGTCTGCATTTCTTTGAAGGTTGCTGGTGACTGCAGGGCTCAGCCATGTGGATGCCACCCTTGGGAAGCAGGGGTGGCATCTTTTGCTGCTGGAAGGGGCCTCCTCTGCTTATTAAAAGTATGGAGTTTGGCATGTTTTTCACTCAAGAAGCATTCCAGGAGAAGGGGAGATGTTGATGCACATACCTAACACAAAAGTCTGCTGGCTGCCAGATCTCACTCTCAAGATGTTGTGGCACTTTCAGCTTCTCTTACCCCCTCATGGGATTGAAAAACCCACTGCACAAACATCCCAAAAATACCCAATTACCAGGATACAGAATCTGGGGGGAAACTGGAGGGCAGATGTGCCAGCTCCTCTTAGAGAGATTTAAGATGTGGATGAGCAGTAAGTGGACTGTAGTCTCACCAACATCATGGGTTCACATGCCCTGGTGAAAGTCTTCCTGACCTGTCAGAGAAATCTAAAAACTGGAAAACTGCATCTATAAACTGTGTGTGGGCTGAAATTCCAGGGAAGGTGAGTATTGGGAAGGAGCCTCCGTGGGCTCAGAGAGATCTGCATTGCAGCTGTGTGGTGTTTGTGTTTGGGAGCAGCTTTCTGTTGGACTGAGCAAGTTTTGGAGTGGTGATGGCTGTGTGGAGGCTCACAACGTGCCTTGGTAGAGCTCAGATGGGATCTGCAGAAGAGGCATGAAAAACTTTCAGTCTGTCCAACTTAAATAGGCACAGGAGGTGCTGAACCCCTGACAAAACCTACTCACTCCCAAATGAGAAGGACTGAATTCCCACATGGTGAGCTGGGCTGCCACCTGTTCAGGTCATGGTCTGTGCTGAGTGTTTTGGGTTGCAATTCCTGCCATCCTTGGCTGTTCCTTTCCCACCTCACTCTCCAGCCAACCTGCTGCTTTCCTATCTTTGTGTGTGTCTCACCTCCAACCCTCTTGTCTTTGCTTGGGGCAGAACTTTGGCCTGGACTGGTGCAAACAGCCTGATGTTGGCCTCCCAAAGCCAGACCTGATCCTGTTCCTCCAGTTAAACCCAGAAGCAGCAGCAGAACGAGGCAACTTTGGGCAGGAACGTTATGAGACCAGCTCCTTCCAAGAGAAAGTTCTTCAGTCCTTCTATTGCCTCATGGAGGACAAGTCCCTAAACTGGAAGGTGAGGAATTAACTCTAATGGGTTTGTCATGGACTGGGGTGGGGGTCTCTAGTGAAAGCTCCCAAATTCTGCCTGTCACATCCCTGTGCTGCCCCTTCCCACTTCTGCTCTGTGGGACACACTGGGGACCAGCCAAGGGCACTGTGGCAGAGGGCACTTCCCTCTTCCAGGAGACCCTGGTCAGCTCTTGGTGCCCCAGGGATGAATCCCTGGCTTACCTGCCTCTGTCACACACCCAGAGACTGCCAGCAAACAACAGGCAGCAGCAGTTCCTTCTGTTTCCCTTCACCCACCCTCACATCTACTTCTTAAATACCTATTCCTACATACATTGATTTCTCCCAAATCCACTCCAGGAACTGCAGAGAGGAGGTGTCCTTAGCTCATCTCACTACTCAGGAGGAATAACACTGAGTAATGGGGGGTAAGCAGATGTTAACAACAAGGTTTGTCTCATTTCTGTAGTCTCTGTTTTCTGTCCTGTGTTTTTGTTGTCTTGGAAACAGACAGTGGATGCTTCAAAGAGCATTGAAGACTTGCACAGAGAAATCAAGGCCATTGCAAAGGAAACTATGCTGGAGGTTCAGAATAAACCTTTGGGAGAACTCTGGAAATGAGACTTCATACAGGTCAAAAAGAATAAGGTCAAAATGCAAAGGTCACTTCTTGGATCTTCTGCCCTTGGATGACTGTGACATGGCAGCAGCTACAGCTTAGATCCTGTGTGTTCTTTTGGGTCCAACATGCTGCTGATGTCCTTATCATTACCTGCTCCTCCCTTCCAGCCTGCACAGTCCCTTCTGCATTTTTTAAATGAGTATGCCATGAGTGTGTATCAAATTCCTCATCAAACCTCCCTCTCCCAAGCTCCTGTTCAGCTCCAGTCCTGGAGTGCAGATGTGGGTGTGGAGCCCAGGGCCATCCCTGGACACAGACTGTTCCCATTTTTAGGGAATTGCCACGTTTCTGATCATTCATCCTCTCTAGAAAATGCATCCCCCCATGCTCAAACCAGTTTATAGAGGATTTGCTAATAAATTACTCTTTTAAGCATTTGGCACAGGGTGGGTTTTTTTCAGACAGACAGTTCCCATTTTTAGGGAATTGCCACGTTTCTGATCATTCATCCTCTCTAGAAAATGCATCCCCCCCATGCTCAAACCAGTTTATAGAGGATTTGCTAATAAATTACTCTTTTAAGCATTTGGTACAGGATGGGTTTTTTCACTATGATCATTTATCTTCTAGAAAGGATATATGGGAGGTGAAGTGCTGCAGTTCAGCCACTAAATCCAAGGAAAACTGTTTGCTAGAGCTGTGGAAAAAAAGGGAGAGGTGAATTCAAGCCTTCTCCCCAGCTGTGAGCAGGTAAGAGCCTGAAATAGATGGATGAGCTGATAGCAAGGCCAGTTTGGAGGACAAGTGGCACATAAATCATTTTAGACTGGCCAAGATGAGAGGAATGGTCACTTGGGGCTCCTGCACACACCCCAGTGCAGTGTGAAAGCAGACCAGCTAGGAACCACCTAAATCAGCAGAACAAACTGGAATTACAATCATTTCCAAGGGACACTGAGAGAGGGGCAGGGCCAGGGGAGTTCAGGTCTCTGCTGGATGTTTCACTCACCTTCCAGCAGGGTGGACTGCTCTGATCTCCACAAACTCCTCCCTAAGTCAGAGAGAGGCAGATTGAACTGATTCACCTGGAAGTTTCACTCACCTTCCAGCAGGGTGGACTGCTCTGATCTCCACAGACTAACTCCTCCCTAACTCAGAGAGAGGCAGATTGAACTGATTCAGGAGCAGGGAGAGGAAGCTAAATATTTAAAATATTGGTAATACAAACACCAGCTACAATGGCAAAAGCTTCTCTCCAGAGCTGCCCAACCCTTGGCAGCCAGACACTCCTGGTGAAGGAGGTGAGCCCCTGCAATGCTGCATCAGGCCCTGACAGTAACACTGGGACAAGGCAACACTGAAAAGGCAGAAATGCCTGTTAAAGATGTAAGAGCTGAGCTTAGCTCTGCTGTTGGGGTTGTGTTAACACTCAGGTAAAACCTTGTCTGGCAGAGCTGTCCTTAAACGTACAGCCATGAATGTGAAATAAACAGTAAAATCACAGACTGATTTGGGGTAGAAAGGGATCTTAAGGATCACCTTTTTCCATGTCAGGGACACCTTCCACTATCCCAGGGAGGTCCAAGCCCTGTCCAAGCTGGCCTTGGACATTTCAGGGATGGGGCAGCCCCAGCTGCTCTGGGGAACCTGTGCCAGAGCCTCCCCACCCTCACAGGGAACAATTCCTTCACTATCCCATCTAACCCTGCCCTCTGGCAGTGGGAAGGCATTCCCCCTTGTCCAAAGTCCCTCTCCAGCTCCCCTGGAGCCCTGAACACACTGGACTCTCCTGGTGTACTGCATACTACCCACCACTGCAAGGACATCAGGACAGGCAAAGATTTTACATCTGTTTATTCAGATAGAAATTGAAAGCAGATGAATGGAGCACAGCCCCACTTCCTCTGCTGCCTCTTCCCCTGACTACAAGAGAGAAGAGGAGAAGCAGGCAGAAAGCAGCAAATAATAATTTAGTGACAGAAGCATTGTGGTTCCCAGTTCAAACCTCTGCTTTCGAATATCACAGGGACAATTAGAGCATCAGTAGGTCAGTCACAGGGGAAACAGGTCATTTCTAGCCTGGTGGCACCACCCTTGGGCACACCACCATCATCTGACAGGCTCCAAACCTGAATGCACAAACCAAAGCCTTGTAAACAGGGTTGAAGTGTGCAGCATGCACCAGGGAAGCCATGGCAGCACTTCCCTGGCAGTGCATGGAGACAGCTCTCCTCCACAGTTTACCCTTCTCTCTGTGGAGAAGGGCTCCAGGCAGAGCTGCCAACTGCAAGTAGCTAAAATTTCCAGTATATTTGGACCTTCTCAAGGCATTCTGCCCTTCTTGGGATGGTCACCTGACAGGGGTTTCCTCCAGGTTGGCTCCTACAGCACCTCTGGGTGCACTCTGCAGAGAGGGGAGCTGGCAGAGGCAAGGTGCTGACACAGCTCAGAAGCCTACTCGACCTTCAGGCACCTCTTCTGCTTTGGAAAGGGAATGTCTGACAGGAGTAGCTGGAGGAAGCACTGACCAACCCACTCAGGACACCTCAAGAGGTTTTACACCTTGGGCTTTTGGCAGGACATCACTCCCTAGTCACCATGCCAGCACACTGCTGCACAGGCAGGAGCCTGGAACATGCCTGGCAGATCTCTGCTGCCTTGTGTCAGCTCTCCCAGCTCTGGACTCTTTTTTTTTTCCAGGGCTGTGGAATTCAGTTTTCTGTTCAAAGCAGCTTTCCTGAAGATACTTGTAGTAGAGACTATTCCATTGTAGAAGCACACGGATTGACTCACTGAGCAACACACACATTTTCTACTCTTCCATTCCTTCTGCTATTTAAACTGGGATTGAGATGCTCCCCAGCAGCACAGCACTGCTCCAACACTTCACTCATTGAACTCCTAGTGACTCAGAAGTTCCCTCAATTCCCTTTCTATAGGCTGTGGACAGGAGAGGTAGTGCTGAGTGTCCTGCAGAGCATGAACAGGAGCTGTACCGTAGGGACCTGCACTCCGGAGGCTTCATAGCTGTCTGTGGGACAGCCCTGGCATTGTGAGCTGCAGTCCAGCTTGGCCAGTGAGAAGGGAAGCTGCTAAAGGCATTAACTGGACCTTTCTCCTGCTAAATGATGGGTGGGCTCTACTTAAGCTTCAGAGGGGAGTCCCCATGGAAGGATTCAGCGCTCTATGATTTCCGTGCCTCCCCCGGAAGGCCCAGCTGACCTGCTGATGTAACAGATAGGCTTTGAACTCCTAAAGCACCACTGCATCCATTTCCCAGCAGCTGTCTGCTGCTGAGCAATTCCAACTGCAGCCAGTAAGGCTGTAACACCCTCAGGGTTCTTCATCCCACTGCAGACACTGCTCTGCTCCGAGGCTGCACGGAATGCCAGGATGGACGGGAGGCAGGGATGGCAGCAAGCGCCTATGAAAACCGGTAGCCCCAGGCTCTCGAAGGAGCTTCCCTCCCCCCTTCTCCCCACACATACACAAATTTGCAGAGTCAGTTTCCTATTTGTTTTCAAAGGGACAGGATTTCAAAGTCTTCATCTTCTGAATCAAAGAACCTTTCCAATCTGTCGGCATCAGAGGAGTCTGGAAGAGAAGAAGGAGGAGAAAGCGCTGCCTCAGTGGGATGCTGTGACTGTTGGTGAGACCAGCAGCTGGAGGGCATCACAACTGGAGTGCCAAGTGCCTCCAAGTTCCAAAACTCAGTGACAAACCTGAGTGAGAGCTCCGAGGAGGATAAGAACATGTCAGTGGTATGGAAAATGCCCCAGAGAGAATTACATGGAGCACAGAAGCACGTCATCTTTCACAGATCCAAACACACTTCTGCTGCCACTGTTTTGTACAACCTTCCTGTGCCCCAGCTCTGCATTAGCAGGAGACTGTTCTGCCTCAAGAGGCTCAGAACAGAGAACTTGGTCTGGACCAATATCCATGAAGATTTCTGACCCAATTGAGAGATACATTTACCCCTATGTGTTAGGGAATAATTTCTACTATAGTTGTTTTTGATGCAACTATTAGGGGACCTTAAAGATCATCCAGTCCCGCCCCCCTACCATGGGCAGAGACACCTTCCACTATCCCAGAGAGGTCCCAGCCCTGTCCAACCTGGCTTTGACACTTCTAGGGATGGGGCAGCCACAGTTTCTCTGAGCAACCTGTGCCAGGGCCTCACCTCCCTCACAGGGAGGAATTCCTTCCCAATATCCCATCTATCCCTGCCCTCTGGCAGTGGGAAGCCATTCCCACTTGTCCTATCACTGTGTGCCCTCTCCAGCTTTCTTGGAACCCCTTTAGGCCCTGAAAGGGGCTCAAAGTTCAATTACTCCTTCTAGTGAGAAACAGGACTAACAGAAATGAATAGCCCTGGCAGATGGGAGAGGCTCTACAAGCCAGGGAAGAGGGAGAAGGACAAGCAGTCTATTAAAAAACATTTTTAAGAGTAGGAAAGACATTAGGGACAATTTAATACAGACAAGGATCAATTGACAGTTTAAGGGAATTGAGCATGCTTAACAGCAAAAGACTGTGATAAAGCTTTTAAGGAGGGAGGGCAGGGAGAGAGAGAGCAGAAGTGCAGGTTGGCAGGAGGCCTCCCCATGCCTGGTGACAGGATAGGCTTGCCCACACACTCATTGCTCTTGGCAGAAGCAGCCAATGGCTTTATCTCCTGCAATGTTTGCTCATGTCATTAATGTGATAAGCAAAGTCTGACAGGCAAGGTTAGTGCCCAGCACTTGTCCTTTTTCCCACTGGTAATGGTACATGCCAAGAAGGAGTGCCTTATGCTGGAACTAAGTGTGACCAGCCCTGTCTTGGAGCATTTTCATTACCTACAAACTCGGTTTTCAGCCTTTTCACTGGACACTTTAGATTCCTCCAAGCATCCCCTCAGAAACCAGAGAGTCACACTGCCATGACAGCCTGTGAGCTTGTTTGTTCTTCTGCTCAGTGAATTATTTTTAGAATAATTCACAGATTATTCTAAAAACCATCCTGAGACACTGTGGGATCTGCAAACCTCTAGCTGAAAGCTGAAGAACTGCATCAATTGACCCAAGAACTCCAGGTTAAATTCCAGGTGGAACAGGAACATACTAAAAGCCCCCATGTAATTCCAGATGATTTCCAGAAAGCCAGGGGGACGGGCTCACCCTCAGCTCTCCCTCCCTGCGTGGCCTCACCTGGTGTGAGATTGAGGACGTCGGGGTTGGAGAAGTGGGAGGGCTGGCGTTCCACCAGCTCGAACATGGGCAGGGCTCCTCTCACCAGGGACAGCTGTGGAGACAGAGCACAGCCATGAGAACCACAGCTCTGACTGCTGCTGCACTGCAGGGCTCGTCAGCATCTGTTGGGACTTCTCTGTAGCTGGGAAAATATTTTTCAAAGCTTTTGAATCAGATCATCAACAGGATTTCAGAGCTATGCTCATTTTGGTAGTTTAATAAACTATTTTAGTATGCTTAAAATGGGGTCATGCTGCAGGGAACATGGTCTCTGTGCAATGGTTGGAAACAAAACAATACTTGATATTCCTTTCCCAGGGGGAGAGAATCAGAGAGAGACGAAGAGAGAGGGAAATTGGAAAATAACTCCAAGATCTTCAAGTCCAACCATTCCCCCAGCACTGCCAATATCACCACTAAACCATGTCCCCAAGCCACATCCACATGCCTTTTGAACACTTCCCAGGATGGGGACTCCACCACTCTCCTGGGCCTGTTCCAATGTCTGACCAGATCTATAAACACAAACCTTTCTGATTTGCTGGCACCAGTCATTAAAGTCTGCCTCTGTGTTGCAGAAAAAGCCCTGAAAAAAAAAAAAGAAGAAGAAAAATACTTTATCTTTCTAAAAAGCCCTAAAAAAAAAAAAAAAAGAAGAAAAATACTTTATCTTTCTCTATTTTAGGTTGATCATCTCAGACTTAAGGCCCTGTGTCAACACTGAGTACCAAGATCAGGACTGGGAGCAGTTACTACTCCTGACTGCCTTGCTTTAAAAATGTGCCTCACACTGCCCTGTTAAACTGAACACTCCACAAAGGTTTGATGTGACCAGGCTATGCAAGTGCTGGAATCATCAATATTTTCTTTACTGCAGAAGGAAAACCAGGAGGAGCAAAGGAAACGAAGGGCAGGCATCTCAGCATCAACAGAAAACAAGCCATGGTGCATCATCATATGGATTCAGGAATGGAATCAGGCTGGAATCAAAGCCCAAACTAAACCCCAGAGATTGGCACTGCCCCATGAGGAAAGGTATTTAACTGCCATACAAGGGGGACTTCCCTGAGACAAGCCACTCTCTGTGAGGAGCTGCTCTAGCAGTGTCACCAAACCCCAGGGCAGCACTTTCCCAGAACACAGAGCACCCAGCCCATCACCGCTGCCTCTCCCTGTGAATCAGGGGGACCCCAGCCCTGCCCCCGGGGTGCTGGGGCACAGCAGCACCAGGACACACCACGGCGATGGAGGGGTCGAGCTCGGCGATGCTCATCCTGCAGGGGGGGTGCTGGCAGTGGAAGCTCTCGTCGGGCAGGCGGCCGCTGTCGCCGGGCTCCACCGCCGGCTGCGTGGTGTGGGGATCCAGGTAAATCAGCTCCTCACCTGGGCACAAGGCAGGGACACATCAACAGCATGCCACAAGGTGAGCAGGGCTGATAGAAGGAGGAGGAAGAGCAATGGCAGAGCCAGCTCTCATAACCACACAGAGGAATCCACATTCCAGGGATATCTTGATTTCAGCCACTTCCCCAAATGCTTCTGAGCCAGGCACTGCTGCCAGCACAACCACGGTGGCCACTCCACTGTGACACCCTGGCATTGAGGCACAGGCACTATTTGGGTATTGTTCCTGCTCATCCCTTCCTGGGTGAGCTCAAATAGACCCCAGAAATCTAAAGCACAAATAACCTGAGGTCTCTGGCAGAGAGGAAACCACAGGGAAGGAAGAGAGTAACAGGAGTTTGGAAGGGTTTGAGGAACACCTAAAGAAGAGTTAAATCCAGCCAAGCTGCAGAGGGAGGTGAGCTCTGAATGCAGGGAGCAGGCTCTATGCACTCCACAGACCACATTTCATGTTATACAGTAGAAGTTTATGGCCCCTGTTCCAATCTACATCACTCAGGTGAGAGGTTCAGCCCACAGCAGCCTTTCACGCTTCCAGCAGGAAAGGAGAACCCTGCAGCATGCACCACAGGCTAAGCAGGAGTGTGTGCCACCCCACAAGCAATTTCTGGGCAGAGGGAGATTCTTTGGACAGTCCCAGCAGCCCTCTGGGCACTCACCTACGTAGCCAATGAAGTAGTGAGCACTGTTTGGCTTCCCTCCGATCACTCCCAGGGACTGGGGCATCATGAAGCAGTGCTGGAAAAGCAACACAGAAAACACACAGCTGACAGACAGTGAAACAGCAGCTGGCAACAAACCAAACATCCAAAAATGCTGTGGGGGAGATGGACAGGGACATGGAAAATCAGCAACTCTAGCAGCAAAACCATCAATTTCTGGAGAAAATCTCCATCAGGCTGCAACACAGGGCTTTCTAGGGACATGGAAGCAGCTCAAAACCACATCTAACTGCTGACAGGAGTAGACAGGTGGACCAAATGAGAGAAGCTGCACTACTCCAGGACTTGGTATGGGCAAGTCCTGGCTCTGCTGCAATCAGTGCCAAGATCCCTGGAGCTGTCATCAGGTTGCAACAGTGCTCTCAGGAGGGAACAAGCATTCAGGAAACAGTTTAAGTTCTTTATCCACCTGGAGCAGCCAAGCAGGATCTACTGAGTTAAGGGAAGTAACCTCCCACAAATCTGAATCTGGGGGTCTCTTACCCAAGCTCAGAGCTTGCTAGCACTGTGCTCCCTGTCTTTTGTACAGCCTAAATTCTGCAGCTTCTCAATACTCCAACCTGCAACCACCTGACAGCTCTTAGCCTGTCTGCAGCACAAATTCAGCATCTGAGCCATGGGGAGTGTGCAACACTGTATTAATTAACATTCAGCTCCCCACCAAGCAGGGTATAGCTGTGCTGAACAAAGGCTTCAGCAGGTTGATACCATCTGCACACAAAGAGAGGCTGAGATCTGAGCTGTGAAGCAAAATCCTCAATAGGAAAAAAACCCCAACCCAACCAGAAAAGGCCCAACCCCTCAAGCCCTCCCATTTTCCTGACTACAGCTTTCAAGAACCTATGTCCTGACCTCTGAGAAGGACTGTCTCTGAACACATTTTTCTTTTGCAATGACTTCTGAGTTACTTGATTAACAACAGGATCCTTTAGCACCCCCCAGCAGGAATTCAGCTCCAGATTCCCTACCTTTAGTGTTTCAATGTAGGCTTCATTGATCTCTGTGAGCCCGAGGCGGAGAGGTATCAGCAGCACCAGTGGCTTCCACAGGCTGAGCCTCCCTCTGAGCCCATCCTCTGGGCACCCATTGTAGAGCACATCTGACTCCAGGGCAGGGCATGCTGCAGCTCCAGCACATGGCACATTGGACTGGCACAGCCTCCCTATGGAAAGGGAACAGGAGCACAAAGCATCAGCACTCTGTTCCCAGACCTTCTGTCATTGCTCTGATCAACAACTGCTCTTTATCAGAAGCCTACAGCACTTAAACCCAAGAGGAGTTGAAGAGGTCGAGTGCTGGGGCTGTGTGATGTGTGTGCTGAGCTCACACCAAGCCACAGCAGCTTGTACTCACAGCTACCAACTGCTGGGCAGCAAAAATGCAAATTCTTCCAGAATGCAAATTCTTCTGAGCAGCCACCTGTGCCAACAAAGCTGGAGGGGTTGATTAGCAGGTCAGACAACTGTCCTGAATTCACAAAGCTTGTAGGCAGAAAGAGGAAAGTTCTGGAGTGTTCAGCTCCAGAGGAGTTCATGAATGAAGTGAGTGAGGACAGCATTAGGAATTAACTGAGGAAATCTTCACCTCTTATTAAGGGCTGCAGCAAGATACAAATATGGCATCTGTCTAGAAAAGTTGTAACTTTATGAAAGTTACAAAAACCTTCACAAATTTTCTTGGAAAATTCACAAGCTACTTTGCAGACCTAAAGCAGTATGGTCATTACACTCTGCAATTTCAGCATGAGCTCTGTCTCTAAGATATGGGGCAGCAGAACTCCTCAGGGCATACACATGACACAAGCACTCTGCATCCTCATCCTAGAGGCTTGACAAACACACAGCCAGGCTGTAATGCACCCAGATTATGTAAATTCTGGTCCAGAAACAACTCCAAGCCTACCTGTCTCACTAGCCAGTTTAATTACTTGCTAGGTGTGTGAGAAAAAAAAAACCCAACCCAAACCCCAGTATGGTCATTACACTCTGCAATTTCAGCATGAGCTCTGTCTCTAAGATATGGGGCAGCAGAACTCCTCAGGGCATACACATGACACAAGCACTCTGCATCCTCATCCTAGAGGCTTGACAAACACACAGCCAGGCTGTAATGCACCCAGATTATGTAAATTCTGGTCCAGAAACAACTCCAAGCCTACCTGTCTCACTAGCCAGTTTAATTACTTGCTAGGTGTGTGAGAAAAACCCAACCCAAACCCCTAAGAAACCCACAGCATGATTAAAGAACCATGAAGCCAAGGCAGTTGGACAGAATGCCAAAGGCTCATTTAATTTATTCCCAGCTTAAACTGAATGCCAGGACATTCCAGCAGGTAGGATGTGGTGTAAACAAACACCTTCATCACCAGCCATTTGCCATTTCAGCTGGGTATTTGTTCACTACTGACAGCTTCAAACCCAGCTGAATGAAGACAACATTACACCCAAATTTAGAAAAAAAAAAGGACTTTGATCTAAGGCCTCAGGAGGAGAGACAACCTGCACAGATGTTTGCAGTTCCTCCCTGTACTGTTCCTCAAGAAGGGAGGTGGTGTGTGTGTGCATTTGGTGCACAGACATGGTTACCAGAGGTTCTGAGGAAACTCCAAGTCATTATTTGTAGCCATTTCTCCTGTTAAAGCAGGTTTTTTATTGCAGTAGCCTGCCTGTCCAGATGATCTGAAATCAGGAGCCAAGCCAGGGCTGTTGCTGCATGGGGTGTCACTGCAGGTTTCCTCATCAGGCAAAGCACATGGCAATCCTGCACTGTGCATGAACATATTTGCCTGCAGTTTAAGCAGCAGAGAGCTTGGCACAGGCTAAATTCACCCTGCTGTCTGGCTGGCTTGGCAGTTCTGTGGTGCCACAGCAGAGCAGAACCTGACTAAAGGCTCCCAGCTGGATCCAAACCATTTACTGCAAATATACTCCAAAGATCTGACACGACACCCCTCCTGCTGCAGCTGCTGCTGGCAGGTACTGGCTTCAGCTGCCTTGGATTTTCACCTTTGTGATTCTCCTTCACCTCAGGTCTAGCTGAGATGCCCTTTCTCATGGAACACTGAGACACAAGGGATAAAGATTTAAGTTTCTTCACTGCTGTAACAAAAGGCATTTCCTGTCAACCTTTGGCTGAACCCTATCAGTGACAGAATTAACAGATGTATGAAACAACATTACTTTTATCCACAATGTTTGGGGCACAAGGTACAAACACAAACCTACAGACATGTAACACATCAGACCCACTCACACAGTGACTTTCAGGCCCTGACCAGGTACATTATGATCCACATTTGAGGAAAACAAGCACACACAGCCCTGCCCATGACAAGTTGTATGGACGTGTCACTTGAAGCAGCATCAGTGCTGAACAGCCAGTGCCACACAGACAGAGCCAGCAGCACACTTGAGCCTCCTAGCCAGCATGTTTCAGCTCTAGAAGTGGTATTTGCAGGCTGAAGATGAAAGACAATCCAATTTCTGTTTTAAAAGTGGCCTTTGTTTAAGCCAGCACATGCCTTCAGCTAAGGTTAGGCACACAGTTCTCTGTCAGGCCCTACTGAGCCTACCTGGCAAGAGATGTGACTTTACAAAGTGACTGTCCTGCACTCCAGGCAAAAGTTGCCTGGCTATTGATCCTGGCCCTGTGGCAGCCAAGGCAGCCTAAATGGTGCCTGCCACCATCTCACCTGTAACCCCACACAGCTGCCCTGGCAGAAACACTGCCAGGTTTGTGCTGGGTGGGCTCATTGCCTCAGCAATCAGCCTGAAGCAAGCCATGGGAAGGCTGCTGAGGCCAGGACCATGCAGAGCTGCAGCAACCAGCAGTGCAGGTGCTCAGCTTTGTAGCTTTGGTTACTGCAATGCTGCAGCCAGAGCAGGCAGGTTCAGGATGGGCAAGAAGAGCTGCTGCAAAGCCAGCCTGTGGGCAGGATGCCCTAAGAAACAAAGAAGGAAAAAAGAAGAAACCACTAGTGAATATTCCTTAAAATTATGAGAGTGTGGATTCCATTCTTATTCTCTCCCCCTGCCAGTTTTGGCCCTTTTCAAATCTGTTCTGGCTTTCTTTCTCTGTCCAATAGCAGAACCCTCCCTACCAATTATGTGACATCCATTTACTGCTTGCTCCTTGTGGCCATAAACAAGTCTGACACTGCCTACCAAGCAGCTCCCACATGCTGTCTGAAGGTCAGCAAACCTCCTCTCCAGACCCAGAGGCATCACCAGATGAAATGAAAGTCAAACAAGGCCCTTCCTTGCCCTAGAACAGCAATCCTCACCTTGTTTTAGCACATCTGGACACAGCTTTCACAGATCATGAGTGTTGGAAGGGACCTTAAAGCTCATCCAGGCAGGGACACCTTCCACTATCCCAGGGAGGTCCGAGCCCCATCCAACCTGGCCTCAGATACTTCCAGGCATGGAGCAGCCACAGCTTCTGGGGGCAGCCTGTGCCAGGGCCTCACCACCCTCACAGGGAACAATTTCTCAAAGACAGAGCATGTACTTCATGCTTGTTGTGCTCTCCAGCTGTTTTCTGGGCTCTTGCTGCCCAAGACATACCACATTCCAGCTCCATGTGACACTTACGGATTTCTTCCATCACCACTGTGTTGTCCATGGCTATGTGTACTGCCAGGGAACTCCACGTATCAAAAGTTGCAAGTTTTCTAGAGGAAAATGAAAAACAAATAAGTAAAGAAGGATTAATACAACTACAAGGCAAAGATGGTGGTGTATCAGAAAGGAGAAACTGGATTAGGAGAGACTGGTGTTATCAGTTATGTGAAATGTGCTTTGACCTGGGAAAGCTGCTGTTAGGCAATTCCAGCCTATTCCAGGGAGCTGCCTGCTCATCTACTGACATGAGGAGAGAATGTGAGAGGAGGGAGGGTGTTATTAAAGGCAGAACCCTGTCAGCTCAGAGGTACCACACATCCTGACTCACCAGAGGAAAGGAAAGGGCAGCACTTACTTGAGCACCTGTGCGACCGTGTTCGGGCCGTACCACTGGCCTATGGATTTGCCCTCCCCGACTCCCATCTGGGCTGCAGCAACAAAAAACCAGAATAACACAGTGAGTAACTCCACCCACACTGCATCCCTTTCTAATCAGGTTTGTATTTAACAAGGAAGAGTTCTCACTTAGAAATTTTATTGCATCAGCAGTATGTACTGTTTCGTGGGGGTGAGAAGGACATCCTGAAGGACTGCAGAGCAAATCCTTTCTCTAAAGTGCAGCAGCACAGAAGCTCAAAGGGCAGTGTTGCCTCAGAAGAAACATTACCCAGTGTTTGATCACTAGACCACCCCTATGAGCTGAGTTCTGTTCACCCCACAGGAAACACTGGAACAGGCTGCTTCTCTGATTTTTCAGGAAGTTTGTATCAAGGTGAGAGCCTTCCTTAGCCCATTTGCTACATCTGAGCACTTCTTTCTTCTTACCTATCTGATGAATGGAGTAGTAGCTGTCTTTTTTGTCAATGAAGGCATTAAGAACGTTGAAGTAATTATCCATCTGCCTCTTCCCTTTTATCCACCTCCAGTCTAGGACAGACAAGGGATATAAGAAATAAACATGGTACTTATTAGCAACCAGAGGCTGCAAGCTGCAATTCTCTTCCTGTGTATTGCCCAACTCAATTTTCATATTGTCATATTATTACTAAGCATCTGAGGCATTCCCAACAGTAAAGGGCTAATTTTAAAATAACAGGAAACATTCTTACAGCTGGGATAAGATACCATCACCCACAGAAAAGCAAATAAACAAACATAACATCAGAAAATACAAATATCCCTGGAGAGTTCCAAGCAAACTATTCTCTCAACAGCCCTGAACTTGAGAAGAGTGAAGAAAAAAGTTACAGAACCCTTAGCAATTCCCAGCTGTGTCCTTTCTATCTCTGTTCTTCCAAGTGCTGCACTCCTGGGAGCACACGGCTCTGGAAGTCAGTGTGGCTGTGCCCTGGTTTACCTCTTCCCAAATGCCTGCAGACCAAGGCCTGAGCAAAGATCATCTGGCCACAGCGCAGCATGCAGCCCCAGCCCGTGTCAGAGGTGGGGCCGGTTCCTCCTGGAAATAAGGACAGAAAAACTGGGAATCAATGGTGAGACAGTGCCAAGAGGGAGGAGAGTGAATGGGCAGCAGGCTCACCAAGAAACAAGGCAGGGAATGAGGACTGGCTTAGCTCACACACCTAAGGCTGAGAACCAAAAATGTGGTTAACGATGAGTAACTTAGTGGCATTCTTTAAAAACAAATAAATAAACTCCTCTAACACTAACTTAAAGGGGAAAAATTCCAAGGGAAGTCCAAACAGCCCAAGAGAGAGCTGAATTTCTCAGGAGAACACAGCCCTTGAGCCTGGCTGCAGACTCTCAGCCCAATTCAGACACATTCCCACATGAAGGTGTTTGTTAAAGATGAGTCTTGTAATCCTCATCTTGAGAAGGCAACTCATCCTGCAGAACAAACCAGTCCCAGGAATTCCCACATCAGAAGTGGCTACAAATAACATTTTAAAGTGAACAATGTAGTCAGGCCTCAAAAACAAAGGCACCAGCCAAAAAAAACCTATCCAAGCAGTGAAAAACACACATCCTACAAATTGTTGGAGAAAGCTGGATATCAGCTCATGCTGGAAAGTCTGAGACAAAGGACACGAAGCTGAAAGCATTTCCCTGACAGACCTTCCAAATGAAACTGCTGCTCCTCCACTGCAGCTCTGGCTGTTTCTACAAATAACAGAGATCAAATGCTCAGTGTGATCAGAGCAGGTAATCTGTGCCTGGGCACAGCTTCTGCAAGTCTTTGCAATGCTGCTGTCTTCTTCTGGTCCTGAACAGGGAGGAAAATCACCTGGAGGACTATTTAATCAGCTTCTCAATGGTCACCAGATGTCTTCTATAATTTCACCAGTAATTCATAACAGTTACAAATTCCAAAAGTGATAATGCTTTACAAAATTAGCATAAGACAGTTCCCTAAGCCTTACAATAATTAAGTGGGCTAGCACAGGGGGAAGGGATGAACAGTTGCAGGGGTGACTGGGAGAAAAATACTGGAGAAGGTTTACTGTATATGACTTGCAGATCATATCTGTAAATGGGAAATGACTCTGAAAACGGGGTCTGTTTTCACCCCACAGCCTCTCATGACTCACAAGGAAACCAAAATTGTGTCTGTGAGCCAGTTAAACATGTGCTAACCCTTTGTTCTCAAACATATGTTTAACTATGGTACACAAACATGAATTTAAAGGGATTAAACTGCATCAAAGATGTCTCAGAGCTTGTGAGGCAGAGAGCTTCCCAGCAGGGAAAGAACAGCACAATCCAGAAGGACCAGTTAGGAAGAAGTTTATTTTCCAGAGTAAGCCATGTTCCTTTCCCACTGACTGCTGGGATGACAGTGACAGACGGGGGACATGGAGTCCCATTCACGTGCCCTTGGATCTCCTCTGATACACCTTGCACCCAGCACACAAACCCCAGAAGAGGCCATGCAGAGTATCTTAAGGAACCCAGACATCCTCCTTTGAGCTCACTGGGAAATACTCCTCTATCACTACAGCTCCTGTGTGTAACAGACACTTCAGGCACACAACTCCCCCATGACAAACAAAACCCCCACGTAGAGCCTGGAGCAGATGCACAAAGGCAGCAATTTCTGTATCATTCTCTAGGCTTCACCATTTTAATCCACTTCAAGCCCAAGACCATAACTGAGTAATATTTCACACTAGACTGATGTAGGATGTGATGAAGTACAAAAATCCTCCCATGTTGCCTAAAAAAAGAGCAGACTTCCCAAACTCCTCCTTGTGTCCCTTTAAAAACCACTTCTATCCCTCCTACCCAAGGGGATGAGGAATTCTCATTACCAGATAAACAAAAAGTCTGTGTACTCAATTAGATGAACACATTTCACACTCTTATGAATGGAAATGATGCCATGTGTGTGGGGACTGTTTCATTAGGGATAACTGGACTATAATAATTTCCAGGATGCCTGTAGACTCCCCCAGAGTACATACCAATGGCAGGGAAGTTCTTTCTGTAGGTGAACCAAAGCCTAGAGGTCACATCCAACAGGATCTCTTCCTTCTCTGCAAAGCGTTCAGCATGGAAAGGCACACATGTGAGGGGGGCACCAAGACTGCCAAACCCACCTCCCACTCCCCTCCCCAGGAATTCTGCTCCTCACAGTCTGCAGGTCCACAGAGGCAGATCTGGCTGAGGAACAGGGCAGTGCTGCTGTGCACAAAGTACTTCCTTTCCCCCCAAAACAGCTGCCATCAACCCAAACATACTATGGCCAGAGACAAATTATGAAGCAGCAAAGCATCCTTCTGCCTCCACCATCCTGCCCTCATGACATGTCCCAACAACTCCCACATGGTAACTTTCTGTACAAAAATATTCCAGAATCCACGGAAATGGCCAGACAGACAGAAGCATGGCAGCTAAAACCCAAGTGCAACCCTACCAAAGTCCTGTGGAGCCTTAAAGCATTGCAGTGTGCACAGAAAATACCTGTAAAAACACTGTATTTCCGGCCAAGGATCCAAACAGGTTCTTTGGTCTCAGGGAAGTCTTCATACTCAAACCTCAGGGTGTCGTAGGTAAGCGTAGCTAGAGAGAGAAAGGAGAAATCACAGACCTTTGATAGCTTTTCCTTTTGTTTTTAAAACCAGACAAAGCTGCAGAATGAGAGCTGCTGTGGCCCAGTGAGTCCCACCCACCCCCAAAGGCCCTGGGCTGGCAGGGAATGGTCCCAGTGCCCTGCACTGAGCTCTGGGAGGCACAGAGGAGACCCAGCCCTGGCTTGCTCCTGGCTGCTCCACAGGCAGAAAAGCAGCAAGATTTCCAGGTTAAGCCAGCTCCAGGTTCTGCCTGGGGCAGAAAACCTCTAAGACTTCACCTGGCAGCTACACCATTTCCCAGAACAAGCAGCATCATGCACGCCATCAGCTACAGCATTGATGTTGAGGGCCTCTTTTCCACTGAGCAAAGTGGTTAAAATCCTCTTGCAGAGAACACAAATTTTGAGGGAAGAACATGCAAAACACAGATCACCTTAAGGTGGAAACTAAACCTTGCTCAGTCCCTCCTCAAGAGGCACCAAACCCAGCAGAAGCCTTCACAGGTGTCACCCCATAAAGTGAGGAACACAGCTGTGCAGATGTGCTCAGGCAAAGGTGACAGGCAGAACTTGTGTCTCTTTTACTGGCTCTGGGATCAGGACAGCTTCAGCTGCTGTGCACAGGGTGCAAACAACAGAGAGGAAAAAACAGAGGAGCTGGATGAGCTGTGCTCCACTACATCTGTGTTTGGAAACACGGACTTTAAAGTAGCCTGGGAATTCTGGAAAAGACACACATGATTTTACAGGTGCCAGTTCTGTACCAAACCACCTCTAAAATTTAAAGCAGACTGTGCTGTAACTGTTAAAGCAGTGACTGAAAACATCTCTCACAGCAAATGCAATAAAATCTGTGGTAAGGTGATGTGAGTCAAAAGCAGGACAAGGGAGTACATGGCCACAAGCTCCTGTCAGCTCAGTTCTCTGCACAGCCACCCCTCTCCATGGGGCACACACTTCTGGCTTCTCCAGAGTAACCTGCTGCTACAGAAGACACTTTGGCCTCCTGAAACAGCTCAGCCTAATGCAGACTCTGACCTGGAATTCCAATTCCAAATACCAGAGTAACCTGCTGCTACAGAAGACACTTGGGCCTCCTGAAGCAGCTCAGCCTTCTAATGCAGACTCTCTGACCTGGAATTCCAAGAAAACACTTGAGCAGATACCATCACCAAGCAGGAACCCCAGCAACAGAAATGACAACAGGCTCCTAAATCAAATTTTGAATCAGACTCTGCCTTAATTCCAGCCCACAAGACTTAAAGCACATCCTTTGTGTGAATTAGTCTTTAAGACTGTTCCAGGCACCCTTAGGATTGCACAGATCACACTTTCCCATTGCCACCCCATGATGTGACTCCTCAGCAAGCTGAACAAAACAAATCTGCTTGCACAGGAATGTATCAACAAATTACTGCTGCAATTTTCTCCTCTCACAAACTTCAGCAGGGAAATGAAGGATTTCTTTCCCCATCTTGAAAATGTCCAGATTTGAGAAGGTAACTGACATGATCTTAACATAAATACTGCAGTTCTCAGGAAGGTTTTAAAGCTCCAAGGAATATTCTGTGGTTTACTTTGTCAGTTCCTAAGCCTGCCATGTGTCCAACTCTCTGTCAGGAGTCTCAAATAGCTTAAAGAAAATGAGTGAAACAAGGATGCTTTCCACAATCCCTCCTTCTCCTTCCCAGCAGCATTCCCTGACCTGCTCAAATATCACAACCTCTGCAGCTGCACAGTTTGCAGGGCACCAGGTCCTTAGCAAGGACAGGATTTGCAACTGGAGACTTCACAGCAAAGATCAGCAGCTGGAAAGGAGCTGATGGAGTCTTTCCAAAGCTCAGGGAGGAAGGGGTCAGCAGATAGAGGGGGATCTCCAGCTGGACCAGCCAAGTGTTCAGGGAATGCAGCACATGTGTCATGACACAGCACATTGGGGAGGAGAGTCCCAGCCTTGCAGCCCTTCAGCTGGATGCCCAACATCTGGCTCTGTACAAGGCCCTGTGTGCCCAGCTGTGCATCCCAAAGAGGTGCTCAGACATTCCTGTTGGGATCTGGGGAGAAAATAGTTGAAAAGGCACAACTACTAAATGCAGGAGTTCAGGTTTCACCTTCCCAGGGAAGAAAATTCAAGAGGTTGCTCCCAGTTGGAATCAAGGACATTATAATGGGAGCAGTAAACTCCCCACAAGGTCACTGAGTGTTTCCTTTACAAGCCTCCATATGTTCCAGCACTTTTCCAAAGTCCATCTCTTGTCTATTGCCCAGATGGGATAAATTCCAGCCAGTGGGACCCAAACAACTCAAGCAGGGCACAAAGAACATCACAGACTGCACAGGAGCCTCTCTCTCCTTCTCACAGCCAGAGATGAAGAGAAACACATCTGGAAATTCACCAAGCAGCAATCCTGTTTGAAGCTGCTCCTCTCAGAGCTGCAGAAGCTGGGTGAGATCAGCACATTTCCCAGGCAGTGCTCCAAAACTTCACCTTCAGAAAGCCCTCAGTCTATTTTAATTACCGACCTCTGAGCATGCAGGACAGTGGAGCAGCAGTTTCTGCAGAGAAGGCTGTGCAGCCTCTGCACATCAAACACAACAGCTCAACTTCACAAGGTTTTATATTAAAAAGCAGAGTGTCAGCTCAGTGCAGAGCTCACCCTGAGAAAGGCAGCCTTGCTTTCCAGGAGCCCTGCACACACTGGGAATGAGGGGAGGCTGGATTGCTGCCCCATGGGCACACCTTCCATGGGATCTGCAGAGCACCTCATCCCAGAAAGCCTCAGCAGGGAAGGCAAAGCTCTGTACATGCCACAACAGAATCCCAGGATGGTTTGGCCTGGAAGGAACCTTGAGGCTCATCTCATCCCACCCCCTGCCATGGGCAGGGACACCTTCCAATGGACCAGGGTGCTCCAAGCCCTGTCCAACCTGGCCTGGAACAATTCCAGGGATAGCCACAGCTGCTCTGGGCACCCTGTGCCAGGGCCTGCTCACCCTGCCAGGCAACAATTCCTTCCCAATATCCCATCCAGCCCTGCCCTCTGGCAGTGGAAGCCATTCCCTGTGTCCTGTCACTCCATGTCCCCAGTCCCTCTCCAGCTCTCCTGCAGCCCCTTTAGGCCCTGGAAGGAGCTCTCTCCATGTCCCCAGTCCCTCTCCAGCTCTCCTGCAGCCCCTTTAGGCCCTGGGAGGGGCTCTCAGGCCTCCCCAGAGCCTTCTCTTCTCCAGGTGAGCAGCCCCAGCTTGCCCAGCCCTCCCTCACAGGAGCATGCTCCATCACCTCGACACAAGAACCACTCTCTGAACACACAGGATTGGGGCAGAAGGTGAAAATTCCCCTCCTTTCTCACAGCCTCAATCAGCACAGCGAAACACTGGAGATGAAAACATTGTCCCAACTTGTAGCAAGCACACCCAGAGGCACAGCTGGGAGCAGCCCCGGAGTCCTGCTGTCAGTTTGCAAAGCTGCTGGAGGCCAGGCCCCTGACAGCCCCTGAGGGACGCTAACTTCATCCCCCACACACAACCCAAGCTCTGGGAAACAAGTAACAACAAGTGAAGGTTGGCTGACTCAAACAGAAGCACGGCGGGGGATTTAGCACCAACCACCATGGTCAGCCTGCCTGCTGAAGGACTCCTCACACAAAACACAGACTCTGGAGCAGGGCACTGAAGGGAAGCCAGGCTTTGCCATAGCTCCCTTCCCAAACTGCTCCTGGGGCTCCTCCACTCTCTGAAAAGGCCTGGCTCTCACACATCCCTGTTCTCTGAAAAGGCCTGGCTCTCATGCCTTCCCAAATCCAACTAGGGCCACCACAAAATCATCAGAACTGAGGTGGATGATCTCTCCTTCAGCTGGCACAGGTACCTCACCCAAGGCACAGGAGGAACACAACTGGAGTGGAACATTTCAAAGACAGTCAAAAAGAGAAGGTGAATTTACCACTTTAATAAAATGCATTTCTGGAAAACACCAAGCAGCTCAAACCCTCACTTCAGCCCTTCGCAGAAGAAAGATTAAAACTTTTCCTTCCCCCAAGCTCCTTCAAAAAAGACAAACCCTGATTATCTGAGCACCAACGAGGAGATAAGAGACAGACAGAGAGGAGAGTCAGGCTACCAGAGGGTGGTGGTGCTTTCTTGAAGGCCTGGAGCAAACACTTCCAAGTTTTGCTGTCACAAAACTTGGGAGCAAGTTTTTGTCACACATCTTGGGAGCAAGGCTGGACTCGAAGGGGCTTGAGCCCAGAGATTCTCCTCCTCCAGCCCCACCGCCCACCCCAGCACAGTTTTCCCTTGCCCTCACGCCAAGGGAAAGCAGACACATCCCCGGCCAGGGCTGCAGCTCGGCTCAGAGCTCCACCGGATCGGCTCCGAGCCGCAGCACGCTGCCAGCAGCGGCGGCACCGAGGCCAAACGAGCGAGGGCAGCCCTCAGCAGGGACAGGGGGCACGGGCCCGGGCACAGCCGCGCTCGGCAGGCGGAGCAGGAGCCCGGGAAGCGTTTGTTGTGGTGGAACGACAACGCCGACCCCCGCGGAGGGGCTGGAACCGCTACTGAGCTGAGGCTGGAGGGAAGCGGCTCCCAACACAAGCGCCAAACATTATTTTTACCTTACCCCGCACGAAACCAAAATCTCTACCACAAGCAGCTCTGCTAGAGCCCTCTGCGAGGGTGAGGAGCGGCTGAGCCGCCTTTTTACCCCCCAGGACACCTTCTCACCCTCCAGAGTCACCCTCTTACCCGCAGGCTGCCCTGCCGCCCCTCCAGCCCCCACGGCAGCGGGGCACAGCGGCACCGGCGCTGCCACCGCCCCGTTCCCCCGGCAGAGCTCCGAGCTTTCCAGGAACGACGGCAGGGGAGGGCGGGAGGGACTCTCCGCCCGGCTCCGGCCTCCGCCGGCCACGCAGCCACCGCCTTCCCTTACCCCAGCACAGGGGCGGCCGGGCCCCGGAGGGCCGCGCCCCCAGGGCCGTGCCCAGGGCGGAAA